AATGTCCCCTGGGGGATGAAACTGCCCTCCCACTGTTGAGAACCACTGCCCTACACTAGTGGTTCTTAAACTTTGCTGCACTGTAGAATCATCTGGGGAAGCTTTAAAAATATTCCATGTCCAGGCGGCACCCAGTCCAGTTAAATCAGAACCCCTGAGGGCACACTGCCTGCACACTGGCATCACTCCGGAGCTTTACAAAAATACTGATACCAAGGCCACACACCCCGAGGTTCTGATTTCATTGGTCTGGAGCATCAGGAGTTTTGAAAGCGAAGCCTTAGGTGAGCCTAATGCCCAACATTTGAAACCACTGGGGCACATGCCTGTGCATGGGGTTCCTGGGCTGCAGGGCTCCACTTTATAATGGCAAACTTTTCCAGCCACTTTTTCTTTTACATGTCTGCCTTCCTCCCCCATCCATGCCTCCAACACTTGGCTGCGATTTAAAAACATCGTGTTGGAATCAATTGGGAGAAAAGCAGAATTACAGTGCCTGGAGGTGGGGTCGCTCCCCATGGAGCCTGACGCACTCCTCGGGGAGCCAAGTCGGGAAAGGTGGTCAGTGTCAGCACAGCTGAGGCCGTGCAGGGGCTTCATTCCCACGACCCCGAGGGCTGCAGATGGCCTTTGGGACCCCCTTGCCATCAGAAGGGGGTGCCAGGGATGAGGGGTTCCAGGGCGCTGGCAGGGAGGAGTCAGGCTGGACGGGGGGGCCCGAGCAAGGAAGCTGAATGGAGACAGGAGTGAACTGGCCCTTAGATGCCATTGTGTGGGTGGCAGAATGATGCCACCCCAAATAGTGCCATGTTCGGCAGCCTGTGAATATGTTAGATTGCATGGCAAAGGGGAAGTAAGCTTGCTCATCAGCTGCCCTTGAGGTGGGGAGAGTCATCTGGGTGAAAGAGGGGCCAGGAGAAGGAGTTCAGAGAATTGGAGGCACCCGCGCTGCTGAGGAAGGTGAGGCGGGGCCGCAGGCCCGTAGGCAGGTGCCTCTCCAACCTGGAGAGGGCATGGAAACAGGCTCCCCCTGGAGCCTCCAGAAGGAAGTGGCTCTGTGGACCCCACGAGACGTAGGTTGGACTGTGACTCCCAGAACTGCGAGAGGGTAAATCTGTGCTCCTTTAAGCCAGCAATTTTGCGGTCCCTGGTTGCAGCCCTGGGAATCTCACATGCCTTCTGTTTGCTTTGTCTGCTCCATAAGGAAATGCGGCAGGTGCATCATGTTTTGTGTCCAACTCTGGGCTCTGTTAACAGTCAAAACAGCTAATGCTCGGTGTTCAGCTTACTAGGAGCCAGTCACTGGCCTCAGGACTTCACATAAACTCATCCTGCAGCCTTCACAGCCACCCAGAGAGGCAGGTTCATCTTTATCTGCATTTTTACTGATAAGGTAAACTGAGGCACAGAGATGTTAATTACCTTGTCCAAGGTTGCCCAGGGCAGTCTGCTGGTGGCTGGTCACCCCAAAGGTCAGTTTCTGGGCAGCCCTTCTAGCTGCACGGTGGACACGGCCGCGGGTCACTGTGGTGCGAAGAAGCTTCTGTTCCAGGGTTGAATGATGGTTTTGTCTCACCAGCTGAGACTCTAGGCAAGTTACTTAACTTGTCTGAGCTTTGGTCGCTCACTGGAAGAAACCCCAAACACCACAGCTCTGCTGTAAAGGGCTGGCCCTCCAGTGACATGAGGGCCAGTGTGAGAAAGCCTGCAGTGCACGGACCCCACCCCCTGTCCCCTGCCCCCTCGGGTGCTACAGGGCAGGAGAGCTGTTAAGAGGGGAGTCTTAGTTTCTGTGTTGAAAATCTCAAGCCACCAGCTGCTTACTGTGACCAGAGGCAAGGTCCCCAGCCTCTCCACCTCCTCACCTGTACAGCGGGTGCGCTGGCAACAGCACCCTCTCAGAGAGCAGTTGTGGGCGCCAGCTGGGGTACAATGTGTAAGGTGCGTGGCACCACACTGGGGACTCAAGGAACTGAGTGGGTGGCTTTCCGTCTCCTGCCTGAGGTGGGCAGGAGGCAGAGGGGCCCACGTGACCCAGCCTCCGCTGAGCTGGGGAAGAGCCTGGGGTGCTGGTGGGCACCAAGGGGCAGGAAGAGGCCCTATGAGGAACAATGGCTGGTGAGCACCCAGAGGCAAGGGCTGAGCCCGACAGGGGCAGACAAGGGCCAGGCACGTTCAAGGATGCAGGGTGGGCGGGCACAGCTTCAGCCGAGCCTGCAAGAATAGTGCGTGGCATCAGTGCGTGGCATCAACAGCGGCACTCATGCAAAGGGCAAGGAAGCGCAGCTGCTCGGGGTCCTCCGTGTCCCATTCGTAGCAGCCTTAACTCCCTGCAGGGGCAATGGCAGCCCCCGCTCCCCAGAGGATCAGGCGCTGCCGCGTGAAAGATCCAGTTACAAAACACTGTTATACCATGATTGTATTTTCATTTTTAAAAAAAGCATCTGAAAAAAATTCACTGAAGTGTTAATAGTAGTTATTTCTGGGTGATGGCTTTTTTTCAAAAAAAAACCCAAACAACTGTCTTTTAATTATACTTTTGAATTGCCTGAATTTTTTTTTTTCAATTACAGTGAGCATGCCTGGCTTTCCTTAAGAGGCAAAGGCCATCTATTCCCCATTTCCCTTTTGGATGGAACAAAAGGACTTATAATTAATTCTATCTAGTTCATAACTTATGCATCTTCCAGAAAGCCACATCTCATCCTATATTAGATGCAATTCAATGTTATGAACATCTGGAGAGTGTCTAGCCTGTGCCAGCTCTTGGCCCTGGTGTGACAAGGATTCCTGCCTCTGGAGAGCTCAGTGTGCCCAGGCCAGCACTTCTGGTGTCATAACATCTCCTGTTTCCTGCCCTAACGACTGTGTTAAGTGTGAGTCAATCTTTTCTGACAACTTGATGTTCTCACCAAGACCCAATTTGTAGTGAAATACTTTGTTGAGGGTAAATTCATCAATTGTGGCATTTCCATCATGTGCTCAGGGGCGTCTGTGATACACAGAGTGGCTCCTGAGACTGGGTGGTCTTAGGAATAATGACAACCTTTGCATCTCCTGAGCCCTGACCACATGCTGGGGAAGGGGCTAAGCCTTTCACATGTCTGATCTCCTTTAACTCTCAGACAACCCCACATAGGTGGGGCTTTATTATTTTCCCCATTTTACAGAAGAGGAAACTGAGGCTCATATAGGTTATGTGATTTGCCCAAGGTCACACAGCCAGTCAGGGCAAGCGCCAAGATGTGAGCCCACCTGGGGCTGATTCCAAGGCAGGAGATGCCCATCTCTGTGCTAACCACCTTTCTGTGCGCACCAGGCGTATCGTGGGCTGCGGTGGATCGTGTGTTCCAGAGAGGACTGCGCAGTTCCGGTCCTCCACGTTCCTCTGGAATCTGGCTGATACCCCACAAGGACTGGAGCCTGCATCTTCTCCCCTTGAATCCTAGTGGGCTTCTATGGCGGCCATGGAGTTTGCTGCTCAGAGGCCCCTTCAACAGATGACTTAGAGGGAGCCGCAGAGGCTGAGCAGCGTCTCTGAGGCCGGCAGATTCTGAAGCACACGTGCCGCCCTGATCCGGTCTGCTACGGCCAGATCGGAGCTCTGAGGAGCTTCCGTCTGAAGGCAGTGGGGTAGATGAGGACATGGCTCAGTGACAGCCCCCCAAACTTTCCATTACGCATTCCTGACCCTCCCTGCCTGAGCTGACTCCTCGCCTGCCTCAGGCTGGATACCCCTGGGAAACCAGCATTGCTCTGCACGGCTCCTGTCCCGGAGGCGGCCACACAGCCCGGCCGCTGTCTGCACTGTCTCAGGCAGCAGGAACCCTTTGCCTGCGTTCTCCGGTGTCGGCTGTGGAAGTGGGAGGGCAGCGCCGGCGTGGGGATGGCACATCGGTCGGCTGAACGGACATCGACATAGATTCTATCAGATGCAGGGCAAAGAGAAACAGACCTGTTCCTTCAGCTCAAATTTAATTCCAGCTGTAGGCTTTTCCAGAAGGGCGTGAGAACGGGCGGGAGCAGACACAAGAGCCATGCGCTAACAAGAGCAGGCACTCTCTCTCCTTTGCACCCTCTGTGTTTCATCCCCAAAGCACGGGGGCTCTAGACACAGAAAAATGGTGCTGTTCAGCCACCAGAGGGATCGCCTTGCAGTTCTAAACCACCTGTCACTCTCCTGCTCTAAGGCTGTCAACACTTTCAGGGAGGAAAAGTTTTCCTCTACCCTTCAGGATTCTTCTAGCAGGTCTGAGAATCACATTGACATGAGATGGATTAACAGGAGAAAATAAAATTCGATTACATACATACAGGGTGTCCACACAGACACGAGATCTCAAAGGTGGTCAGGGATGATGAGGCACATCTGTCATTCTGAACTAATGAGAAAGGGACAGAGGTCTGGGACTTCAAGGGAAGGAAAGCAATTCACAGGAATATAAAGGAGTAGCTGTTTGGTAAACAAATGTTTGCTGGGCCCCATAGAAACAATGAGACCCAGAGAGGAATTTTAGCAGAACAGCCTTTGCTGAATTCCTGCCTACCTGCCCGGGGTCATAGTCTACTGTAGTTACCTGTGGGCAGAGCTCCTTTCCTGGAGCAGGTCCCCTATCTAAATTCTTTTAGGCAGGTAGGGGTGAGGTCAAAGTTTCTTTCTGAGTCTTTCGGGCCCTCGTTGTTTTCAGTGGGACGTAACCTGCATGGCAAAGTGCTGCCTCTCGGGGTGGCTTGCCCTTGGCCCCTACAGCACCCTTGGTCACCCAAACGGAATTTCTAGCAGTGATTTGAAGCTACATTATTTTGGGTTTGCAGCAGTTATGAGTTGTGTCCCAAATAACTTATTACTTAAAAGTCAAACTACGGCTGTTTGCAGATGACGTAAGCAATTTTTTAATTGGGAATCTCCAAAAGGTATACATATATATATATATCTGAATTGTGGGTAAAATTGTAATATTTCCAGAATATCTTGCCTGGCTTTAGTGCATCTGCATATCAATAGGTATTCCGCAGGGGTGGAGAGTCACCCATCTCCATATCAGTGGGTAATTCCCTGGGTGACCAAGGGCTTATCTGAACCTTAGAGGTTAAGGGGCGGGCTGGCTTGCTTCTGCCAGAGCAAGAAAGAGAGACGGCTCTGGACCACAGTTTGTAAGCAATAAAGGGGTTTTGAACTTTATTTCTCCCTTTGACTGATGTCAGTTTTAGAGGTATTTTGCCCTGGGATTTCCTCTCCCTGGAGTTCCATGAATGTTTATAAAACACAAACAGTGAACACCTCAAATGTCCATCAGCAGGAGAATGATACATAGTGGTGTGTTCATCCAAAGAAATACAATTCTGGACTAAAAAAGAACTTGATTGATACATAAACAACATGAAGGAATCTCCTAAAACCAGACACAATGACTATGCATTGCATGTTGTGTTTATACCAAATGAAAGATCTGGGGACTCTAATCTATGGCCTCAAAGTCAGAACAGTGGTTGCACCTGTGGGGGTGTATTTGCTGGAAAGGGAGACCTCTGGGGGACGGAAAAGCCCTGCACTTCATCTGAGTGGATTACACAGATGTGTGTCTGTGTAAAAGCCACAGAACTGTACCCTTCAGATTGAGTACTGCAGCCCGATGGAAATCATGAGTTTGAAGTTATCCACATGTTAATTGTTACCTTGCTCTCACTTGCATTCCAAGAAAGTTCTGGAGGGGGTGAGGAGAAGAAGGGGTGCAGCTGGAGTTGTGGTGCTTGGAACCTGCCAGGTGGTGTTGAGGGTGGGGCTCCTGCTTGCTCATCCTTGTGTTGACAGTTCGCATTCTTGACCTGGAGGAAGTGGTGGCTCTTCACAAAGCCCTTTATGATCTGGCCCTTCTCCTGCCCACGTCTGCATCACTTTCAGCTCCCCAAACACCTGCCATTTGTGGCTCCCAGAACTATAATAGGGTACATCCCTGTTGTTTGTAACCACTAAGTTTGTGGTACTGTTACACACATTATTAGCTGTTATAGCAGCCATAGGACACTAATACAATTATTATGATTATTTTCCTTCTCTTCCTTCCCCTTCAAAAAGATATCCATACACAAAAACCAGTGGACTTGAACATAATACCTGAAGCTATAAAACTCCTAGAAGAAAACATAGGGGGAAAGCTTCCTGACATCGAACTTGGCAGTGCTTTCCTGGATAAGACCAAAAACTTAGGCAACACAGCAGGAACAGACAAGTGGGACTCTATCAAACTAAAACAGTCCTGCACAGCAAAGGACACCATCAGCAGAGTGAGAAGCCAACTTTACGGAATGTGAATATTTGCAAACCACTTATGCAATAAGGGGTTAACATCCCAAATAAGAAATTCCCACAACTCAATAGCAAAAAATCAAATAACCTGACTAAAAAAAGTCACAGGACTTGGATAGAAATTTCTCCAAAGAAGACATACAGATGGCTGTCTCCTCTGATATGTGAAAAAGTGCTCCACAATCGTTCATCAACAGCTAAGTGCAAATCAAAACCATAAGGAGATATTACTTCATGCCATTTAGGATAGTTAGTATCAAAAGATAAGAAATAACGAGTGTTGGTGAGGATGTGGAGAAAAGGGGACCCTTGATGGTAATGCAGCCAGAGGGAAACAGCATGGAGGGTCCTCAAAAAATTATAAATAAAAATACCATGTGATCCAGCAATCCCACTTCTGAGTGTAAATATATATATATAAGAATTGAGAGGACCTCAAAGGGATATCTGTATTCATGGTTATTGAAGAATTATTCACAATAGCCAAAGTATGGAAACATCCTAAATGCCTGCCAGCAGATGAGTGGATAAAGGAAATGTGGTACATACGAATGATGGACTGTTATTCAACCTTAAAAATGAAGGAAATCCTGCCATTTGCGACAACATGGATGGATCTGAAGGGCATTATGCTAAGTTATATAAGCCAAACACAGGCCAAATAGTTCATTTATCTGGGAGTCAAACTCATAGAAGCAGGGAGTAGAATGGTGGTAGCCACAAGCTGAGGAGAGAGGAAATGGGACGTTGCTGTTCAAGTGACAGGAAGTTTCAGTTATGCAAGACCAGGAAGCCTGAGAGATCTAGTGTACCACATACTGCCCACTGTGAACAATATTATTATACACTTAAAATTTTGTTAAAAGGGCAGCTCTCATGTTAAGTGTTCCTATCACACACACACACACACACGCACACACACACACATACACACACACAAAGCAAATAAGTAAGACACAGGGGAATGTCTGGAGGTGATAGGTTATGTTAATTACATCAGTGGTAATGGTCCCGCCCTGTAGGTATGTGTCCAAATTCACCAAACTGTACGCATTAAGTATGAGTGGTTTTTGTCTACCAATTATACCTCAATAAAACTGAAAACAAAAAGATAGACTTCTTCAGCTTTAAAGTCTCCTCCCTTTTTCGGCTGAATCTTTGGTGGGAGAACTTTGATGCCCACACTTCATTTCTCCACCACCTGCCCTGCTTCATACGGGCAGGGGTGGGGGTGCAGGGTTGAGGGGACTTTCAGTGTAGAACGAGGCTCCACTCCGGACTTATTAATTCTGATTCTCAGGAGATGGGTCTGGGGTTGTTGAGAGACAAAATTCAACCCAGTAAATTTGAAGAGCCAATTGGCTTTATTAAGTGATTGGTGAAGCAGGTAGCCACCTCCCAGTAGACAGCTGGAGGTGATGGGCAGATGGGAGGTTTTATAAGCAGGAGGGTGGGGCAAGGAAGTTACCAGCAAAAGGAAAAGGCCGGGACAGCTTCTTCTGCAGGCAGAAGGTAAGAGATTTTCATTATACAGATTTCCTCACTTAGTGCTGGTCACAAAATTTCAAATTGACTAGTAAAAGGTCACAGTCCTGGAACTGTCAAGGCACACAGCGGTTCAATTAGTAAGACCTTTGTTTTGAAGGAAATTGTTCTCACACCCATTGTGATGTCAAGTATGTGTTTCATTCTAAGTTGGCTGACTTCCATTGCCATGCTCCGCACTGTTTGGAGGAAGCCCTGGACAGAGCCGGATGTTTCTTAATCCCTAGATGAATCGAGAAGAGGACCCACTCACTCCTGATGGGCTCCATTTGCTCTCACCCTTCTGCAACTTTACTGATGAAGCTTGCTCCCTGGATGTGGAATGATGTAGACGAAAATTCTAACTCAAAGAGGAAGAGAACCTGACTTTTTTTTGTGTCTGACTTATTTAGCATAATGCCTTATGGTCCACCCATTTTGACACAAATGGCAAGATTTTGTTCTTTTTTTATGGCTAATAATGTCCCATATATATATGTACATATAAATAAATAAATAAATATATATATATATCACATTTTCTTTATCCATTCACCTACTGGATATCTTGGCTATAGTAAATAATGCTACAATGAGCATGGGGGTACATATATCTTTTAAAGTTAATGTTTTTGTTATTTTTATTAAGGTATCATTGATATATAATCTTATGAAGGTTTCACTTGAGCAACATTGTGGTTACTACATTCACCCATATTATCAAGTCCCCCCCCCCCACACACCACTGCAGTCACTGTCCATCAGTTAATTAAGATGCTAGAGTCACTACTTGTCTCCTCTGTGCTATACTGCCTTCCCTGTGACCCCCTACATTATGTGTGCTAATCATAATGCCCCTTAATTCCTTCTCCATCCCTCCCCACCCAACCTCCCACCCTTCCCCTTGGTAACTGTTAGTCCATTCTTGGGTTCTGTGAGTCTGCTGCTGTTTGTTCCTTCAGTTTTGCTTTGTTCTTATACTCCACAGATGAGTGAAATCATTTGGTACTCGTCTTTCTCCACCTGGCTTATTTCACTGAGCATAATACCCTCTAGCTTCATCCATGCTGTGGCAAATGGTAGGATGTGTTTTCTTCTTATGGCTGAAAAATATTCCATTGTGTATATGTACCACGTCTTCTTTATCCATTCATCTACTGATGGACACTTAGGTTGCTTCCGTATCTTGGCTATTGTAAATAGTGCTGCAAAAAACATAGGGGTGTATATGTCTTTTTGAATCTGAGAAGTTGTTTTCTTTGGGTAAATTCCTAGGAGTGGAATTCCTGGGTCAAATGATATTTCCGTTTTTTAGTTTTTTGAAGAAACTCCATATTGCTTTCCACAATGGTTGAACTAGTTTATATTCCCACCAATAGTGTAGAAGTGTTCAGCTTTCTCGGTATCCTCGCCAGCATTTGTTGTTCCTTGTCTTTTGGATGCTGGCCATTCTAACCGGTGTGAGGTGACATCTCATTGTGGTTTTAATCTGCATTTCCCTGATAGTTAGCGATGTCGAGCATCTTTTCATGTGCCTGTTGGCCATCTGAAACTTCTTTGGAGAAGTATCTGTTCAGATCCTCTGCCCATTTTTCCATCAGGTTATTTGCTTTTTGGGTGTTGAGGCATGTGAGCTCTTTATATCTTTTGGATGTTAACCCCTTGTCAGATATGTTGTTCATGAATATATTTTCCCATACTGTAGGATGACTTTTTGGAGAACCTGACATTTCTTAGCAGCACTGGAGGGAAAATGGGAAGTTCCATGGCCAGGATTCTCACCTGATCCTAATCTACTCAGCCACTGTGTTCGTAAATGATGTAATACTTAGCCTGCCGTGCGTGCTTGCATACCCCTTGGCGAAAAGCCGTTATTGTCTGTGTTGCTATAAAAAAAGCTCTGCCTGGTGCTAAGGGGGGTAGAGGAGAGGAGAGGCTGGAGGTGAGAGCAGAGCCTGGAGCAGAGGCAGCGCCTGAGACTGACTTGCTACAAGCAGACGGCCCTGGAGGTGGATGGGATTCTAGTGGGTTGACCTACCACTATGAGAATAAAGCTTGTACAAGCCCCTTTTACCTTCAACATTACGTTGTCCTTTTTTGGTTTCACCAAATCCAGAATGCACTTGCCAGGAACTGAAACCCACTTCCGGGGGTACAAGCATCTTTGTGAAATGAACTGTAATTAAGTCTTGGTTTGCAGTCGTGGGGGACCAGTGATTCCATTTTGGGCTTGTTGCTTCTCCTTGTTCTTTTGTCTTTTTTAAAAAACAATTCTTAATAAATATTTTGTAGCAAAATCTACAAGTTCCCAGCAGAGGGGGATGTTACTGCATGCAAGAAAAAGTCTCTGGCAGGAAAATGGGATTTGACAAGTCCCGCTTTCCCGAGCAGGAAAATGAAGATGTTTCTTTGAAAGGATGTCCACCGTGAAAGGGTTTCCCCACTACCCACCCTCTTAGAGATCTCAGTTGAGAATCAAGGCACTTTGTAGAACAAACAATGGCTGATTTTGTTTATGTTCTGAGAATTTGGGATATTGTCAAAGCACACTGTTGTTAAATTAGTAAAATCTTTGTTTTGAAGGAAATTGTTCTGACACCCATTGTCATGTCAAGTACGCGTTTCATTCTAAGTTGGCTGACTTTCATTGCCATGCTTGGCACTGTTCTGAGGCAACCCTGAATAAAATCGGATGTTTCTTGATCCCTGGATGAATTGAGAAGAGGGGTCACTCACTCTTGATGGACTCAGTTTGCTCTCATGTTTCTGCATCTTTATCGATAAAACTTGTTACCTGGATGTGGAATGGTGTAGATGGAAATTCTAACTCAAAGAGGGAGAGAACCTGACATTTCTTAGCACACTTTTTTTGTAAGCAGTTTATACATTGTAGCCTTTAGTTCTCCTAGACACCCTGAAAAGTCTGGATTAGTTTCTCTAGTTTTAAGGAGAGTATAACTCAGGATCAGAGGGGCGGGAAATTTGTGCAGATTAT